AATGAAAAAAAAAAAAACAAGAAAGAAAAAAAAAAAACGATCATACTTCTCTCGTTGCACTCACTTTATTTTCCGGTTTGTTTTTGTTTTTGGTGTTGTTTTGTTTGTTTGTTGGCACGCTGCCCTCTTATCCACCCATCCCAACGGCCCCACGCCTCGGATATGCACGAAGCGGAGCTGCTGCCCGTTGGGGAGGGGGGCAGAGGCGCGTGGCGGCGCAGCGGCCGCTACAGCGGGGAGGCGGAGCGGCCCCCGACGCCATCTCGCAGTTGCTGGAGGTTACCCGGCACGTAGGACCTCACCGCCTCATATGTCGCCTTGATGCGGCGAAGTGTGGCGAGGGATTTCCGCCTCACATAGTTGCAGTACTTGCGTGTTGCTTCCGTGCTGCAGTTAGGCGGGATTTCACGCTCCGTCCTGCGCACGAAGCCGAGGAAATCCAGCACACGCTCCACACCGTCGTGGAAGAACTTCTTGCTCACACCATCCATGCGGTTCTGTTTGAGGATGAGGCCGCGTGACTTCTCCACGTCGAGGGCGAAGGGGTCAAGGAAGTCTTCCACGAAGTCTAGGCAGCGTTTCCCAAGGAATGCGTCCCTGTGTAGACCAGTTTCCGGAGTGGCACCTCTCCCACTCGAATCTGCCAATGCGTCGATGCGAGAACGCTGCTTGGCATTGTTGGGCAAGGCGATTGAAGACCCATTGTGGGCCCACGAGTGGCGACGACTCGCGCCGGGCGACGCACCCAACGGTGACGTCCCCTCCCGCACCCACAGCGAGGAAGCCTCCAGCCGTGGCGGCAGTGGAGTAGACAGTTTTTGCTTCGAAGGGTGGGGATGGCCGCGGACGCTCGCCGCGTGCGGGTGGGCGCTGTGCTGCTCATGGTACCGCAGCGACACAGCGGAGTGGCGCCGCGACTGCTGCGGCTCCGATGCCGCGCTCCGCTGCCGCCACAGCAGATTACTGTCCGCGTGGAAATCCAACGACTGCCCCTGGTGGAAACGCCTTTGTTGTTCGTCCACTCCCTCAGAGTGTGGCGTCGGCACCGGGTCGACAGAGGGGAGGCGCGATACGGTTTGCGACGACGATGTCGACCTCGACGGATGCCGCTGCTCACCCTCCAGCGCAGGGATCTGCTTGGCCTGCTGTGGTGCAAGCTTGTGCGCAAAAACGTATTGTCGTGTGGGTGGCGAACGCAGCGCGCCCCGCTCATTCACTTGCGACGGTGCATGCACAACGACCGGCCGCTTCTCCAGCGCTGCTGCCTCCATCCGTGGCTTCTCTGTGTTCAATTCCTTGGGCGCATCTGCTTTACAATCGGCCGTGTTGACATGATTTCTGGCAGGCCCGGTAGAAAGCGGTACCTCCTGACTCTCCTGCTGCTGCTGCTGCTGTTTCTGTGGTTTCCTCGTTTTCTTTGTACTTGAGTCATTAGCCTTCAGATTTTCCACTTTACTATGCGACTCGTCTGGTGGGGTGTCATTGTCTTTTCTCAGCTCCTTGCTGGAAGACAGCTGCCCTCCACTGTTGCTGGTCGCGCTTGTCGATGATTTACTGTATTCCACTTCATTGTTCACTGCCTTCACCACTGCGTCAGAATACGATGAAGCCATCAGCCGCTCTGGCAGCTCTGCTGCAGGCGTCGGTGCTGCCGTGGTAGACGGCATTGTATCCTCACTCGCACTGTCATCATTTTCGTCCATCTCCGCAAACAGGCCTTTCAGGCGCACAAGTGATGGGGTCGAGGGGTTGATATTGATTTCTAGCACACTACCAGTGAATATGGCGTGCATAATGTTCTGCTCAGGAATCACACACATTCCTATTCTGTACAATTTCTGGTACGCCATTTCAAGAATATTATCCTCTCTGTTGTCACTATCTGCAGCTTTCGGCTCTCGCTCCGCCTTTGTACCACGGTTATTGGCACCATCCTGCCCCTTTCCAAGCACAGCCGCAAGGTCGGCAAACATATCATCGCTTGCAACGACCACCGTCGTCATCTCCTGTGTGTACGAATTAAACATACCCAAGTTTTGGGGGGGCATGAACACAACTGCTGCACCGCAAAGACGCAGGAGACCATCATACCTGGCGTGTATCTGTGGATCCAGGATAACAAAGGTGAATTGACGCAGGTGCTTGTTTGGTGGATAATTCGACTTAAGGAATCCGTCAAAACTGTAGAACATCTTCAGGGGTCGCATGTAATCCGATACGGGGAACCGCTGTGATGCCGGAATGGCGACGGTTGGCAGAGGGAACTCCTCCGGCACCATAAGGCTGTCCTCGCGTAGTGCCTCAACAAGAGAAGTGACGTAGTCCACCGTCGTGACGTGGTACTGATGTGCCATTGCACGCAGCACGTTGGGCGTCATATCGTAGCCGTCGCTCGTCACGTACAGAAAGGCAACACAATTGAGGCCCATTTCTTTGAACATGTCCAGTGACGGCACCGGCTCCCGCACAAGCAGCGCACCCAGCCGCACAGCGGCACTCATCAGCAGGAATGCCTCCGCGTCGTTCAGTGCGGCGGACTCGACAAGCACCAGCGTTGCCGTCAGCAGGCGTGCTGTGACGCGTGTGCCAAACTTGATGACGTCGCGCGTGTAAATCACGCGGGCGTTGCCGCGCCCAATAATCTCCTTGTTGACGTACGTGCCGTGCTTGGAACAGTCCTCCACGTTTGCGTTGGCCTCAACAGCGGCAACGCCAGGCGTAGCCAGCGGCGGCACTGCGCGAACGGTGATGGTGGCATGGTGCCGCGACACTGACGGATCGCCGCTGGGAAGCAGCAGACGGCACTCCTTGCGGCCGATTGTGTACGTCTCGCCAATGAGCAGAAAGTGGCGCCGCACCTCACCGTCGCCGTGCGTAACCTCAAGAATACGCATCAAACGCCCAGAAGAGCTCTTTTCTTTGTTCACCCTTCCTTTGTGGTTTGAATGGGCCCTCCGCTGCCTTCTCCCCGTTCACTTCAGAGGTGTGTTGTGGTACTGAGGCGGAGTACCCTTCAATTCCTTGGTGGTGGCGCCTCTGGTTGGTGCAGCTTGTTTAGCCTTCGCCCAGCGTGGCGTTGAGCACTAATGCCGCTTTGCGTGCGCAACAAAGACAGAAGAGGAGTAAAGTAAAGAACCAGCCGGCAAAAACACACAACAGCAACAGTGGCAGGGATAACAGAGATTTGGGAAGCAGATTGCCCCCCACTGTTACAAAGCACAGAATAAATGATTCCCACTCAAAATCAGAAGGAGTCCATCATGCACAGCGTGGCGCAGCACACACACACAATGAGACACTCAGAAGAATTATTCAAAGAAGGCCCTCTCATGCGGGCGGCGCACAGTCATGTGCCAAGCAAAGCCCATTACGGCACTGAGAGAGATGCGCCGTCCTCGTTGGATACAGAGCACAGGGAGTATCCTCCAAGGGGGATTACGTGGCGCGGAGAAACAAACGAAAAGTAAAGTAATCCAAAGCATGTTATTAAACAATCTCCAGGGCAGCACACACAAGCACAGGGTGTATGCGTCCTCTCCATGTGCACACACACAGCTCAGCAGACAGCAAGGAGGCCCATCCCACCAACCACCACCAGCAACGGTGTACGCACCCACGAAGGACTCACGCTGCTGTCCGCACTCATAATATCCTGCAGGGTGTTGTGTGCATTGCTCTCAGGGGCGTTAATACCAGTAGCTTCAGTTTCTTCACCGCTGTCTGCGGCATTGGGACCCTGAGCGGTCCCTGAGGAGGTTTCTGTCGCGCCCGTGCCACTTCGGGAGACGCTGCTCACTGTCGTCGCAGGGATTGCGTGCAGCTCCTCCTTAGGAGTGTCTGGGGCATCACTGAGTGGCCTCTGAGGCTCTGGACGGCCAGAGACAGGAGTTGATCCAGCAACTGAGTCAGTTTGCTGCTTTTCTGACGGATTGATAACAGGCACAGTACTTCTCGGCTCACCATGGTGGGAAGCATGACCGTGTGATGCTTCTGGCGCCGGCACTGGAAGTCGGGAAGGCTTGCCAGATGTAGATAAAGGATTTGACTCAGTCTTAGGGTTTGCTACAGCGTCCAATGCAATGTCTATCTTGTTCAGCCACAACTCGAAACTCTTTGCAGCTCGTTCAACCAGTTCAAGTACCTTGTTGGCGGCATTTAAATCCTTCGTCGCGCCCTCCACTGCCTTCTCCGCCGACTGCTGTGCATGGTCAACAAAATCGTTTAGCTTATCCTGGTCACTCCATCCATTCCAAAGGACTCCATTCTTTTGCTTTGCATATTTCAACGCTTCTTTAGCCTTTTCCGCTGCATACCGCGAGTACTCTTTCCACGCACCATTGACCCTTGCCGATTGGTCGCCGGCCTGAGCCTGCGCCAACAACTTCTTTACCTCTCCTGCTTTCTCTGATGCCTCCTCTGCAAGGGCCGCGACGTTTGTGTTGGCTTTAATTGCTGCATTGCTAGACGCTAGCTCCGACTCCAGGGCCCACTTCTCTGCTTCCGTCGCTTTACTCAATATCTTTGCCACCCCCATCAGCAAGGCATTCGACAAGTTAGAAGCCTTTTCAAACTTCGGCACAACTTCACCTAACGAAAGAACCACATCTGCAATATTCTCCCGTTTAAGTTTTTCATACCCCTTCATTTTTTTATTTAGCTCCACTGCAGCTACTGAGGCCTTCTTGACCTCAGCCGTCAATTGCTCCTTTGAATTCTTGATACCGTCCACCTCATTCCTGGCCTCCTTCACCGCCTCCTGAACCTTTAGCGCCTTCTTCTTTGCCTCATTCAGGTAAGTCAACACAGCTTTTTTCTTCTCCACATTCAGGAAATGCACCTCTGCTTCCTTCCTCTGCGCACTGACACTCACATCAGGGGCCGCTGCACAGCCACACACGCAGCACAGCACGACGGCCACCACAAACAACGCGGGACGCCCCACCGCCGCCATCATCACAGCCCGAGGCACACTGGTCTACAGAGGGGGAGGGACGCACAGCGGGGTACACAAGCACAGCAGGGGAGAGCAGCAGCGCACCACACAACTCAACGGACAGCTAGAGGGGCAACACATCACTCAAACAAAACATTAGTGGCAGAGCACAAAGAACCACACAGAAACAAACCCCAACAACCCCCAAATGAAAAAAAAAATGAAACAAGCTGCAGCAGCCAAGGGTGTTGGCCTACAGGGGTGCACACACACAGACAGCAGCAGCAGCACACAAAGACCACAGGGGCTACTTCACTCAGCAGCAGCCGTCACCATCAACAGAAAAAGAAGCCCAGAGTGCCCATTCTTGCAATTATATTCAAGCTAATGCGTAGGCAGGAGCACCTTCGTGTGCGAGGCAAGTGAAAAGATAATAAGAGACACAGCCTTCCATGTAGCGCTATTCGGCACAGTAAATACCGCTGAGGCTCGGTGCATCATCACGTGCCCAGCAGGCCAGGAGCAGTCAAAGCAAAAAACAAGAAAGAATTGGTTTATAACGTGGTGCATAGAGAACAGGTAGGAATTGCATCGTGTGATAATATTTACGCTGATCCCACAGTTCTCACCACATGGCAATGTGGGCGATTGCTCCCAGAAGCAGCGGTGCCGCACTGACAGCCGCAATCATTGCGCCCGCAGCCGCATCCTTCTTCGGTGGCACGTTGGCAGCAGAAGTCTTCGGAGCAGTGCTGTCAGTGTTGTGAGCGGCGGCCTCGGCGGGAAGGGGATCCGCCTTCTTTTCAGGTAGATAGCATTCACCACCCAATTATCCTGTTGTATGACGGTTGGCACTCACATCCGGGTTCCCACCACTGCGATGGCACTCGGCTTTATTGGGTGTTTCCCCACCCGTTGGAATAGTCGCACCGGTTACCCGAGCACTCGATTTGTCTTGCCCAGGAGGTCCTTCTTCATTTCTCGGCATTCCACCACCGCCTAAAGCATCGTGTTGTTTGTGCTTTTCAAGACGTTGGTTTGAATCATGTGCAGATAGATTTTGTGTTTCAGACCTTGAAGCGCCATTACCTTGGGTCCCAGTTGTGGCGCATTTACCGGCACCACTGCCGGTCTGTGCATCACAATTCTCAGTGTTAGCCTTTTCGTCCACATGATCTTTTTGACTCTGTTTAGAAGAATCCGTTATACTTCCGCCACCATCTTCATCATCCCCTGCTTCAATCGCTGCAGACAGCTGTGCTTCTGTGCCCAGAACCAATCCTGCTGCCAGCTTCTGGTCCTCCGCCGCAGCCCTGCTGCACGCCCCGCACAGCACGAGGACCAACAAAAGAGACACGTGCCGCATCCGCATCGTCGTCGCCGTCAGCATCACACGCTGAACTTCTTCCTGTGCGGGAGACGTGAGGGGCAGAGAGAATCGCACACGCAGCAGGGCACAGCAGCAACACAGGTGGGGCGTTGGGGCGCCTCACGCAAACACAAGAAGTAAGGGTGCAATGCGCGGGCAACCAGAAAGGGAAGCCCCCAACAGTGTTGGCAGAGCCCCACAACCAAGAAGAAAACAAATGCGTGAATGTGAGGTCTCGTCACGCAACAAAACTGTCAGCTGCGTACAGCCACGACGCACCAGAGGGTGCACACGACGCCTGGCCACTTCTCATTCCCCACACAAACAGAGTAGCTAGTGAGAAGGGCGCAAAGGCTTCGTGCAGATACCAAATAATGCAAAGAACCCCAACAGGAGCAGTGAGGCGTTGGTAACCCGCCGCCTGCTGTGTTCACCGTAGCGGACTACAGCACGCACACACATGACAGGCAGTAGCAGCCACCGCCAACAGAGTAAAAGGCAAAGGCCACCGTCAGAGGTATGAAAAAAAAAAAAACGCAACAACAAAATAGATGATGCAACAGCGTAATACCATCACACTAAGAAATATGCCCTGCTACCTAAGACTACCCAGATCCCAGTGTCCCCACCGCCCCAGATACGCCCAGACATCAATCCCACCGTTCCCTCTACTCTCATTGACTACCTGAGAGAGCCTGCTAAATCGCTCACACCTCGCAAGCCGCACCAAGGCAGCAGCCACACATATTCCCCTTCTATCGTTCGTCGCCTCCCTCTTAAACCTTCTCAGTTCCTCTCAATACACCGGATCAGAAAGCTCACATGTGGCAAGATTCTTCGGCAGCTCGACACGGTTACCCCTGTGGATGAACTCCGCGTAGACATCAGCGATGGGATCGTGGTCGAGCGCAATATCGGCACGTGTGTGCTTCCTCCCTTTCTCGAACTTGTCGGAAAACCGCACTGGTGTTTCCACTTCTCCATCAACAGTAGCAGCACCACCATTTGCTGCAAAAGCCTTCGCCTTTGCCTCACGGTCACGGCCGAGGAGAACAAGGTGAAAGATGTTCCCCGCCATGGAGCACTGCGCCAGCGCAACACAGCAGCCAACGCCTTCGTACACACCACGTGCGCAGTCGGCGACCACCACACTCTTCAGCTGCGCGCTGGACTCAATGCCCAAGTACAGGCCGTCGCGCCCACCAATGAGGGCGCAGTTACTCAGCTGCACGTGCGATCCCTGCGTCACCTCCACGCACGGCAGCGTCGTCCTGCTCTGCCATTGGCAAAACTCCGCATCGTCATTGTCATCCTCCGTGGAAGCATGCCTTGGCGAAAGAAACGTT